TGAGAGTGTGAATTAAGGTTTCTCAACTATTCGAAGATTTTTTTTTTTTTTGAAAGAGAATATAACTACCAATTTTTTTTGATATTATGGGTTTGTGGAATTAAACAAATTATCAAAAACCAGAAGAACCAAAATTATTGTAAAATTTTCGGTACTGTAAATTAAGGTTTCTCAACTATACGAGAAAATATGATTTTTTTTTTCAAATTTATAAGCCATTGCTTAACTGACAATCTAACAATAAATTGCATATTGGGTTAGGTCTCTCCAATATTCAAAATTGCAATAGGCGTTAGTCGGAGTTTCGTCTAACGCCTAGCCCAAAAATCAGTGATTAATAAGTGACTAATCTATTTAATATTTAATTATTTTAATATTTTTATCATCAAATTTTTATAAATAGATTTTAAAAAATAATTATAAAAAAGTTCATTCTAGAAAGATATAAAAAATTATTTTAATGAAACTTATTATATTAGTATGATTAAAGAAAAATATAAAATGCGTCATTTAATTGAAAAAAGTTGATCCAGATTTTTTTCAAATAAATCATAATTTCTCTTAAAAATTGGTCTATATTAGATATAAATATAATAATCACCTAATTTACCGCATAGTCATAAATCAGATTGGTTAGTGCCTAAGCAGTTTTTAGGCGGCTAGACAGTCTATTTTTTGAATAGGCAGCCAATTTTGTGAATAGGGGTCCATCAATACAATATTTTTTTCTCACATTCTACCTACCATTTTTGAATTATAAACATCTTTTTTTTAATAGTATGCATGAATGCAAAAATTGATTCTGAGTGATGACGCAAATACATTATTAATCCAAAACATCTTTTTTTTCACTGGAATAGTAATTTTATTGAAAGCAAAGGATCCATCCAATTCAATACATATCCAAACAAGCGAAACAAATTTAAAAAATACTCTCTTACACCGAGGTAGGAGGTTTTTCTGCTGATATCATATCCCTCAACCACACCGGTTCCCCATTAGCCACATACGATTTGCCTGCTTTGATTCCAAGACCCAATTCCATTCACCAATACCTTTCAAAGCTTCCTACATATCCATTACTACGCCACGGTAAGCTGGCCAAGCCTTTGGTCGTTGGATGGCCCCAACCATTTCCGAAGCGTCTGATGCAAAGGTCACCTTGCTCATTTTAAGGCTGCACATACTTTTGATGGACCACAATAAAGCCTTTTCCTTTGCTTCAAGTAAACTTCTGATGTTGCTAAAAGCCCTTCTGCTATGAATCATCGCATCACCTTTGTTATTTCTTAAAATCCAAGCAGCTTCCACAAGGTTATTCCTTCTAGACAACGAGACGCCAATATTACATTTCAGATCACTTCCCTCTGGTGCTTCCCATCTTTTGGGATCTATCCTCTGAATTGCATTGGTACTTCCTTCATTTATTATAATATTCTGTACCTGTAACCACTGATTTGTATCATCCCGTACTTTTGCTGCTGTCTCCATTGTCGTGAATCATCTCCCCTCAAATAGAAACAAATTTCTATTCTTCCACAATTGCCACAAGATCCATGGAAAGCATCTTCTCGTCTCCTCTGGTATCTCCATATTACTCCTGCATTCAAGTAAATAATGGAAATTCTCGAAAACTGATCGAGGTTCAAATCCAGTACGTAGAAAAGGAAAGCACATCTGTGCCCAAAGCTGTATTGCTACCATGCATTCAAAAAGCACATGGTTAATAGTCTCATTTCGTTCTCCACATATCTGGCACATCTCATCAGTTTTGAGGCCACGTTTTGCCAAACACTCCCCTACCGATATCGCATTATTCAAGCATTTCCACATAAAGACCTTGATTTTTGGCGCCGCCGCTACCGTCCATACCCTTGTTCGGATGGAGTTCAAAGAAGGGCTTGCCAATGCCTCCCTTCTGACAGCAGATTCATCAAGTTTCCTCCCAAGCCAATATCCTGAACCCACCGAATAGTCTCCATTGCGGTTGTGTACCCATTCATAACTATCATCTCTTCCAAAACCTGGTTTAATCTTCAGAATGATCTCCACATCGTGAGGTACAAAGTGTTCTTGCAATCTGCCCCTATCCCATGTCTTCGTTTGAGGGTCTATCAGCTCCTTAACCTTCATGTTTAAGTTAAAGAACAGATTCCTCCGAAATGGGGCTCTTGGTCTTTCGTCAAAGATCCAGGGATCTAACCAGACATTAATACACTCCTCCGACCCGATACCGTGTTTTAACCCTTTCGGCAGAAGTTCACGGCCATGTAGGATGCTTCTCCAGGCATACGACGAACGGTAACCAAAGTCTTGCCTTCAGGATGTCTGTGTGAGGGAAATATCGACTCTTGATCACCTGAGCACATAAACTATCAGGGAACATCAAAACCCTCCATACGTGTTTTGCAAGTAACGCCTGATTGAAAAGCTTAATGTTCCGAAATCCCATTCCACCCAGATCTTGTTCTATACACATTCTTTCCCAAGAAACCCACTGAATCTTCTTCTGTCCTTCCTGAGCATTCCACCAAAATTGTGCCATAGCATTCCTGAGATTTACACATGTTGTTTTCGGAAGTTTAAAAACAGACGTGGCAAAAATTGACATTGCCATAGCTACCGACTTTAACAGAATTTCTTTCCCCGCTTGTGATAAGAATCGATCATACCAGCCATGATCGAGCCTTCATTTTCTCTTGGATGTAATGGAGCATGTCTATCTTAGAGCCACTAAAACACTCTGTAATCCCAAGATAATTGCCAGCACCACCTCCGTTAATAATCCCCAGCTTTTCTTGAATGCTTCCTCGGACATCAGCATGGACATTAGCTCCAAAAGTGATTGATGATTTTTTGAAATTAATCTTTTTCCTGACATATTCTCATATTGCTGTAAAACATCGTATATAACTGCACACTCCTCATCACTTGCTCGGAAAAGAATTAAACAATCATCTGCAAACAACAAATGATTCACCGCTGGTCCATTCTCAGAGAACTTTATCCCATGTATTCTTCCTTCAGCTTCAGATCGCCTTAAAAGATGAGATAGACCCTCGGTGCACAGATCAAAAAGGAATGGGCTCAGCGGATCACCTTGGCGTATGCCTCTCTCCGGCTTGATCATACCATGGGGCTCACCATTTATGAAAACAGTTTAAGTCACCGTTGACACACATGTCATGATCCATTTAACAACTTTCTCATGAAAACCCAAAGCATAAATCAGAGTTTCCAGATACCTCCATTCAATCCGATCATAAGACTTTGATATATCTGTTTTAATAGCCATATCTTCTTTTGAAATTCTCGAGTGAGTTCTCAAACCATGTACAAGCTCATGCGCGATGATGATGTTGTCGGAAATAAGCCTATCTGATACAAATGCCGATTGAGTCGGATTCATAATGTCATTGAGCCACTACTTGATTCCTGCCACTAAAACCTTTGAGACGATTTTGTACAGGACCGTACATAGGCTTATAGGTCTGAGGTCTGTTATCAACGATTGATTATTTACCTTCGGGATCAAACAAATCTGCGTATAACGTCGGTAAAATACCAGTCTTAAAGAAACCTTGCACCTCCGTAGTCACACTTTTCCTTAGTACATCCCAATATGTTTGAAAGAACAGACAATTCATGCCATAGCCTCCAGGAGCACTAGAAGCTCTGATCGAGAAAACAGCTTCACGAACTTCCTTAGCAGTGACTTTCTTTATCATATGGTCATTCAACTGATCGTTGACTTTCGCTTGGAAATCAATAAAGAGATTCCCCAGATCACCCTCTCCCGTAGAAGAAAACAAATCTCTAAAATACTGCCCTGCAACATCCCCCCATCGAAGCAACTGCGGTGACTTCTCTGCCCTGGTCATCGATAAGCTTCTCCAAATTGTTTTTTGACCTTTGCGATTTAACCGAAGCATGAAAAAAGCTTGTATTCTTATCGCCATTCAGTAGCCATTTCTCTCTGCTTTTTTGACGCCAACAGACCTCCTCTTCTCGAAACCCTTTGGCAATTTCCATCTTCAATTCTCGAATATGCTCAAAACTGGGGTACATAGACGTAAGTTCAGCCTCCAAATCAACCCGCAATCTCTGTATGCGCTCCATAGAGTTTTGATTGTTCTGTCTCTTCCACCAACCTAAAGCTTTGCGACACTTCCCAATTCTGTCCATCAAAGAGATATGTGCAGAGGTGTGTTCTCCAATCCAAGCTTCCTTTATGGTCTCCTTAACCAGAAGTTTCCCTATCATTCTCTTATCAAATCGGAAGGTTCCTCTTCCCAATGTTGGTCTATTCATCAGTTGAACCAACACATGTACAGGGCTATGGTCTGAACCCAATTTTTCCAGGAATATCTGATTAGCAATCGAGAAAAGTGATCTCCAAGCTTTATTCCCAAAGCATCTATCCAACTTGCACTAGACAATGTGTGTTTCAAGTACATGCCCACGTGAATCCATTGCCACAACTCGGTAGCTCGGCCATGTCACAAGTCCTCAACATCTCTGCAAAAGGCTGAAATGATGCATCACTCCGCTTAGGTCCCCCGAGCTTCTCACCATTGTGTAAGATTTCATTGAAATCACCCATTATACACCAACTCCCATGTCGCTGAGCTCCGATTCTCATAAGTCTTTCCCATACCCGAGCTGTGCCTTTAACCAATCTCCATATACGAAAGACACAAAAAACTTAAACGAACCCATATGTACATTAACGTCAATGAGACTTTTGTCAGCAAACTCCATGTCAACTGTGACACCATTTTTCCATAGCAAAGCTAACCCACCACTCCATCCAATCGGTTCAACCGTGTAGACCTTGTCATACCCCAACCAAACTTGTAAATCAACCAAAGCATTTCTACATCTCTTCGTCTCCATCAGAAACAAGACCTTAGGAAAATGATTTTTACGCATTTCCTTTAGTCTAGGAATTGTCAGATCTTGTGCCCGGCCCAAACCCTGACAATTCCAGCTCATTATACTCATTGGGATTCCGGCAGTCCCTCATGCGGGACCACCTCATTCTTTGTACGCCTTGCGATTTTGGTTGACTCTATCTTCCCTTCCTCTGCCTTCTTCTTTTGTGGTGAAACTCCCACCGTAATCCCCTCTGCAGCAACTCCCTTTCCTGCAACTTTTCCCCTAGAGGATCTTTTGCACTTCCTCTTTGTCGGAGTAAGCTTCCTTCGGTGCTTAATGGCTATGACTTTCATACCCGACGAGCTTGCCTCAGAGGAACCTATCTCAAATCCCATAGACACAGACCTGAAAACAGAGCCCTCAGACTCATAGTTTGCTGCAGCTCTCTCTGAAGCAATGCATTCAATCGATTGCATTCTTCTCACAGCTAAACCCGCATTTATCACCGCTCCTATCAGCTTCCCTCCACTGTGTTCACTAAGTTCCCGCTTACCATCATTCCCATCCTCTCTATTCTGGAAAATAGGTCCCTTTACTTTATCGATATCTGTGGTGACTTGTGGGGGCACTTCAAGTCTTAAAATCATGTTTTGACTTCGTCGATCACCTTTCAAGTCCAAAATGAACTTCTTAACACGTTCCTCTCTCACTTTTCTTTCAGGTTCCTCTGCAGCCAACAAATAAGTTCTCATTTCATGTAGGACCTCTGAGTTGATCCGAGTCCTTGCAGTCGATGGATCGATCCCTACCTGATCCTCGGAAAGTACTCCAAAAAGAGGGTCATTATCCTTCAAAACCGGCTCATGAACCTTTTCTGCCTCTAAAATACTCTGTCTTCGAGCTGCAGCCTTATCAATTCGTGACTTGATTAAGATAGAGCATTTGTCCTTCTCATGTGTGAGCCTTTGACAGTGGTAGCATCTTTTTTGAATCCTCTCGAAGTCATACCAAACAGTAGTTGTCTCCCCATTTGGCAATACCACAGCCTTTGATCTTCTCACCGGTTTAGAAACATCAAAATTTACCTCGGCCCTCACGTAATCATTGCTTTGAGGTTTATAAGGATCAAAGGCAATCTCCTTCACCTATCCGATTAAATCCCCCAGATCATAGATAGCAGCCTCCGTATAGTAATTGACCGGGATATTCCTAATCTGAATCCACACCGGCATGAACTGCAGCTAATCCTCCGGTGGGTTTTTCATCCATTTGTTGATCACCATCGACCATTCATTGAAAGTCCAAACTCTCTTTCTTATCACCTCTTCTAAATCATGTTCATATTTGAATATGAACTGAAACTTCTCCTTTGTTAAAGTCATGCCTCTGACTCGATCGTACACTTGCCACTTCCTCGGCATGTCCAGGATTAAATCTGCCATGTTCTGACATTCAGGGTTTAACGTTCTGCCCATTATGCTCATTATATTCCTTTCACTCGAACAGTATTTCGGATCCTTTGGCATAATGAAAGGAGTATCCTCCTCTTCCTCCAGCGACAAAGCCCTTAAAGCCTTATCGATATTCGCCATTGCAGAAAGAACTCAAGAATGCACTCACAGATGACAAACAGATGATCTAGGGTTTTTGTATTTAGAGCGGCGCTGATGAACACGACTCAAACTTTATAAATCCTAGCTTACAAACACTTAGATTTGATACAGATTCACCAAAATCTTGTTATATCTTTACAAAATCTCTCCAGCAGTTGGGGAAATAACCCAGCCAAAAAACCCCCATTTTTAAAAACCAAATACTCTATTTGGGATATAGAATCCTAAGCAAAAAGGGAGAGCCAAAAAAATAATTAATCTAACCTATACTGCTAGTCCAAAACATCTATAAAATTCTTTTTCTGTTATTTTCCTAATTAAAAAAATAACAATAAAAAGTTAGATATTGTTGACAAAAAAAAAACTTAGATATTTTGCCATTAATATGTAAAAACAATGACTAAAAAAGTGAGGAAAAAAAGTGGTACAACGATCGATTTATATAGCAAAATTAATTAACTATAGGAGTACCTAACAAACAAAATTTGTAAGAATTTACCTTCATCTTAAATGAAAAAAAAAACAAACAAACAAAAAAAGAAGATTAGATCTAGATACATTCATATCTATTCTATTAAAACAGAAGCATATTTAGTGCTTGCATTCAAACACTCCTAAATTTTTTTTTATAATATTTTATTTTATTTTTATATTTAATTTCCAAAAATTAGTTATTAATTTAGATATTTTTAGATTTCTTAAAATCTAGGTCATCTTTAATTTAAATTTCAAATTATTAGAAATTTAATTAAATTTAGTTACAAAAATTTACATTCAATTTAATTGAAATTCAAAAAATTCAAAAAAAAAATTCTAATTAAATTTTATTACGAAAATTTAGATAATACTTTTAATACTTTAAAATTTCTTAAATACAAGAGAGATTTAATTTAAAATTTTTAACTTTAAATAATATTTTTCATAAAAATTCATAGTAAACAAATATTTTATCGTATTTTATCATAATCAATTGGTCTAAAATATCAAATATTTGAGATTAATAAATATTTATATTATACAATAATATATATGATCGAGCTGATTAGAGTTATATATATATATAAGTATATTTAAGGTCCATGAGTTAATTTATTAAAACATGTAAGATATTAAGATGATTTGAGACAATTTTTTTTTTTTGATAAAATGTGAATATATTACCAAAAGAAACACGCGTTTAATTACAATGCTTTAGACAAAACCAGCAGCTTCAGGCCCAAAAAAAAATAAAAGCCATAAAAACTAGGGCGGGAACAATATTACAAGATGCAGATGATCAGGCGTGGGTGAACCATTGAGAGAGAAGCTTCTCGCAGCCTCGTTTCCGGAGGCGGACAAGAAGAGAGTCTCTCACGGTTCGGTCGATTTTCCTGAAAAGAGCCTCCACCGTTAAGGAAACCTGTGTGTGGATCCTGTTGTTGCGCTCATGCCAAAGGAGATAGACTGTTGCCTGGGCAGCCAGACATTTCAGGGTCCTAGAGAACGATCTGGTTGGCGTCCTCATCCACTGGAGAAGAGTTAGCCAAGTAGTTAATATTGAGGGAGTAGCCTCAAAACGCTGTAGAACTCTGTCCCAGACCTGGAGCGAGAAAGGGCAGGCGAGGAAGATGTGGTGACGTGCTTCCGGAGAAAGGTTGCAGAGGACACAAACCTCAGAGACGTTGACTCCCCATTGTATCATCCGATCCTTGGTTGGTAGCCTGTTCAAGTTTGCAGTCCAGAAGTGGAAGGCATGACGTGGAGTAGCATGCTTGAACCAGACCGTTTTGAACCAGGTAACCATGGGAGCACTCGGCCTTAGGAAATCCCAGATGCACTTAGTCGAGAATTGGTGGCGACGGGAACCTTCAATTCCCCATGAAAAGACATCAGGTCCGTTGCTTGTCTGTGGTGGGACAGTGGAAATGAGAGTATTTCGCAGGTCTCTAATTTCCAAGCTCCTCGATCTCGCATTAGGAAGGCGCCAGGTTCCGTCAGCAGCGACCGCATGAGAAACACGCGCGCCGATGGGAATACCAAGTTTCCAGGGCCCCGCATGGCCAATGTAGTCTATTAACGGACCAAGAGCCAACCAGTTGTCACACCAGTAGCTCACAGAGCATCCATCACCAATTTCGCAGCCAATCAGAAGCTTGGCGAGAGGTCGGAGGCCTAATAAAAACTTCCAGATCCAAGAGTGATTACTTCTCTCTTCAGCAAGCCAATAATTGGTGCGTTTAAGCCTATGCTCTCTGTTCCAAAAAACCCAAAGAGAGACATTGTTGGAGAAGAGAAGCCATACCAAACGCAGGTTGAGAGCCTTATTCCATGCTTTGAAGCTCCTAAGTCCCAGCCCTCCTTCCTTCTTCGGTAAGCAAATAGACTTCCAAGCGACCTTTGAAGCCGCTCTTTTAGAAACATCACCAGACCAGAGGAAGCTTTTACACATTTTCTCAATCAGATTCAGACAACCAGTAGGAAGAGCAAAAGCGGACATCCAGAAATTTACTAGACTGTAGATAACAGAGGTTATAAGTTGGAGCCGACCAGCATAAGATAGACATTTGACAGACCAGCCTGTGAACTTCCCCCTGAGTTTATCAAGGAGTGGAGAGTACTCAGAAATACGGGGCCTTCTACTAATCAACGGAAGACCAAGATACCTGACTGGGAAAACGCCATTGCGGAACCCAAGACCATTTAGAGTAGTCTGGTCCCCAATATTCAATCCCGCATGGAAGAGAGATGATTTCTCCATGTTTAAGCCTAACCCCGAGAGGCTGTGGAAGCGATCTAGGACAGAGGAAATTCCCTCTAGAGACCTCACAGTGCCATCGAAAAAAATGATCAGGTCATCTGCAAAGGAAAGATGAGTGACTTTCGGATACCTGGCAAGAGGGTGAAGGCCAATCTTTCCTTTGTCAAACTCCGATGTCAAAAGAGTTGAGAAAATCTCCATCGCGATGACAAAAAGAGCAGGGGAGAGAGGGTCAACCTGGCGCAGTCCACGTTTTCCCTTAAAGTAGCCACATAGATCACCATTCACATTTATAGAGAACTGGGGAGTGGTTATGCACTCTCTGATCCAATTGGTAAACACGCTCGGGAACTCAGCTGCCTCAAAAATCTGAAGAATAAACTCCCAACTCACAGAATCAAAAGCTTTCCGGATATCCACCATAAGAAGGCCACGCGTAGAAACGTTCTTTCCTTCAAACCCCTGAACAAGCTCAGTTGCCAACAAAACATTTTCCACAAGTAATCTTCCTTTAACAAAGGCAGACTGCGAGGGAGAAATCATTCCAGGGAGAAGCAGTTGAAGACGTCGTGCCAAAATCTTGGAGATGATTTTGTAGACAACGTTGCAACAAGAGATGGGCCGAAAATCCCCAAGTTTCTCAGCTCCTTCAGTCTTGGGGATTAGACTAATCGCAGTGGCATTCTATTGTTTCAAGATTTTCCCTGATGAGAAGAACTCCTGCACAGCATCAATAAGATCCAAACCAACGATATCCCAACTCTTCCTGAAGAATTCTCCGGTATAGCCATCAGGACCCGGAGATTTCTTGGCGGGTAACCTGAACACTTCCCTCTTTACATCCTCAGCTGTTACGGGCGCAGTAAGCATCGCTTTTGCTTCTTCAGTACATCGAAAGTGAGTAAGAAGGAAGATTGTGTTTTTGTCCTCTTCCGAGAGATTACGGGATTGAGAGCCCAACAACGTCGCATAGAAATCAATACAATGCCCCTGAATCGCATCCGTCTTCTCCAACCGATCACCCGTTTGATCAACTAGATAATGGATTTGGTTAGTCGATCGTCTGGTTGCAACAACTCGGTGGAAATATGCAGAATTAGCATCCCCACTTTCCATCCAAGTAACCCTTGATCTTTGGTGAAGGAACCTCTCTTCAGCAATAGCAAGGTCATACCATTTTTTATAAGCCTGTTTTTCCAAGCTAGCCGACTGAGGAGAAGGGTCGTCTAGGAATCTGTCCTGGAGATCAACAAGGTTTCCATGCGCTTCCTTAACCCGAGTTTCAATTCCCGAATAGTGATCCCTGTTCAGACACTTTAGGACAGCTTTGAGAGATTTCAGCTTCTTCGAAAGAGAGAACATGGCAGTGCCCGAGACAAACGTGTTTTCCCAATGGTCCGCAACCCTCGGAATGAACTCATTATGATGGAGGAGGAAGTGAGATACCTTGAAGGCTTTCTTGGAGGTATTAGGGGAGCCAAGGACAATCGATGAGGGGCAGTGGTCAGAAACACCCATATCGCCAAAGTGACCATAAGACAAGGGGTACTGAAGAAGTCATTTGTCGTTGATGAGGATTCTGTCCAGTTTCTTAGCAATAGGGTTATCGATTTGGTTATTCCACCATGTAAACCAGTTGCCGCGAAAAGACATATCAGAGAGCCCAGCATCCTCGATACAGTCCCTGAAATCAGACATACCCCCAGTAATTCGAGTGCCACCTTGAGAACTTTCCTGAGGGTTCAGTGTTTGATTAAAATCACCTAGAGCCGCCCAAGGCTTAGTTGATATGATAGGATCATTAGCCAGGCTCCGAAGCTCTTCCCAAAGTTCTCTCCTGCCATACTTACAGTTGAGAGCATAGATATAGGAAATTGCCACCTCCTCCGCAGAATGCGGCAACCTAACGATACAGGTGATCATCTGCTTCGACTTGGAGTGGACAACCAACTGAAAAGAAGGATCCCACAACACCCAGATTCTGCCTAACTCTGCAAATTCATAGTTACCCGCAAAATTCCATCCCGCAAAAGAAGTAGATAAATATTTGTGAGACTTGTGAACCTTCACACGGGTCTCAATAAGGCTACCAAAAAGGGGTTTCTCATGCCTTATCCATTTCCTGAAGCTGCTACGTTTTATACTACTATTAAAGCCGCGTATGTTCCAACAAAAGGTGTTAACCGCCATTAATGAGATGATTTTTTCCTCGAGGATCCTCTCGAGGTGCTCTTCAACTGGT